TGGGTCTTTGAATTTGGGGGGCCTGATTTCTTAAAATTCTTTATATGTTCTAGATAGAAATCATTTGTTTGAGGGACAGTCGGCTAAAATTTTTTCCCAATTTGTGGCTTTTCTTTTTACTCTTGGTTTCTTTTGCTGTGTAAAAACTTTTCAATAAGATGAGATCCCAGTTGTTGATTATTTGCAATATTCACAACCACTGTGGAAATCAGTGTGGAGATTCCTCAAAAAACTAGGATTAGGGGTCCCATTCAACCCAGCTATTCTCCTTCTGGGTATCTTTCCAGAAGAACTGAAAACATCATACCACAGTGATATATGTGCACCCATGTCTATAGCAGCACAACTTGTAATAGCTAAATGTTGGAAATAACCCAGATGCCCATCTACTGAGGAATGGATAAAAAAGATGTGGTATTGTTATACAATAGAGTGAAACTCAGCTATAAAGATAAGCTCAAGGCTTTTTACAGGTAAATGGATACAACTAGAGACCATATTCATAAGTGAAATAAATCAGACCCTCATGTGTAAACATTATATTGTCTTCCTAGCATAAAAACCTGAAAGAGTAAATAAAATCTGAAGGGTACAACAGATATTATGAAAGGGAAAGAAATTTCTCAGAAAGAAAACAACTGGCATGAGGGAAAGGAAAAAAGAAAGAAAAACAGAAGGGAAAAATATGTACACAATGTGCAAGATAGCTTAGATAATTGTACTACCAATTTATAATAGCTTATTGAAAGGAACAGTTAATGTTTGTTTGATCACTCTTACATGCCTATATCTGGTTATCTGAGTAGCTACCATCTTGTTTTGAAATTCTGTATCATTTTTATTGTTTTGTGTTGTTTTGTTTTTGTCTTTGTTTTTGTTATTTTGTTTTTGTCCTTTTCTCTCCAAAATAAAAAAATGAACCATTGCAAAATAATGAAAAAATACAAAATAAAATAAAAAACAAAAAAGAATACCAGTGTCAGCAGTTACTACAATATAATGAATCCAGTCAAACATAAACATTACTTATTCTTTCCTTTAAGGAAAAAAATATTTTAAATATAATATCATAAAAAACAGAATAAAGGTGAGAATATTTTTTAAAAGGCTTTGTATGTGGAGCCAATAGTAGACTTAAATACAAGAGAACACTGGACATAGATCTGCCCCTGTCTTCACCGGGTAATTCTCTCCCCATGGGTTTTCAGTTAGACTGGAATAGTATAAAGGATGCGGAAAAGTGAAGGTCCTCCATTCCTTTCCTGAACCAGGACCACCCTCATGGAGAATCTCTTCCTAGAGCCCATGGGCTCATCTGTGTCCACAACAGGGCTCCTTTCGTCTTTCTTTCTTGATTTTTTTTCACTCACTTACTGGTGAGTCCTACAACAGTTCCACAGAGCTCTGTGGGTCTGGATAATCAGTTATAAAGTATTTTCATACTAATAGATTTTCTACTTATTTAGGATTTAAAATTATATGTAAGAAATGTAATATCAGAAAGCTAAATATAGATGATTAAATGACTCTTTCAATGTATTATAAAACAGTCTAATAAGTCTTAAACTAGCTATACCATAAATATGTAGTAGTATTATGTACACATGTTCATATGTTTATTAGTTGACACAGATCTCCTTAGAGAGATATGAGGGACTTATTTATCCATATGGATATAATTAAGTTTAGGTGTTTTTTATCCCAAGCTCATTTATCCCCACCTTTTAGCACATGCTAGGTCTCTCTGTAAGGTGCAGTGGATTTTCTATTAATTCCTCCCGTGTCTGGTCAAAGTTTTTCTGTACTTGGTAACCTTTAGTGTAGTTAGGGAGTTTGTTCACATTGTGTAAGAGTCACATTATTTGTTGAATCTCACGGAAAGCTTTTAAGAAGGAGGAAGTTGAAGGAGTTAGGACTAAACAATGCCAATGAATGGTGGGAGTGACTATCTGCCTGCCTCTGGCAGGTCAAAAGAACCAAGATGATCAGACCTTTTGCAGTGTATGCACACGACACTTAGGGAACAAAACCAGGGTAGGTTCATCCATAGGTCAATAGGAAATCTCTGCATAATATACCATGGATGTAAGATATAATTTATATATTAGATTGTCTATATGTTAGGTTAGCTAATTTGTATAAATTATGGCTAGAAGAAGGACATAAATCTTATTGAAGTGTCTTAAAGCAGTTCTCTGATAGTTTTCTAAAAGAAAATAATTTTACTGATAAATTCTCTTGTCTTTAATGTGGCTGATGTTTAATTTACACTGATGGCATCTCTATGTATTTTTTTTTCCCCCTTCCGGTACCAGGAACCGAACTCACGACCTTGCGCTTGCCAGGCAGGCGCTTTGCCGCTGAGCTAAATCCCCAGCCCCGGCATCTCTATGTATAACGTGATTTTTACTACCATTTTGAAGTGTCAACATTTGACAAATCATGACTTCATAGAACTCAGCTGTAAAGAATACAGATAAGTTTATAGAGGTCTTTTAGTTTTTTTCATAAGACGTCATACTCAAGAAACGGCAAGATCTGCACAGGCAGGATTAACTTCTCAGAGGGAGGAAGAACATGATTTGTTGTTGTTGTTTTTTTCTTTTTCCGGTACCGGGAATTGAACTCACTACCTTGCGCTTGCCAGGCAGGCACTGTGCCGCTGAGCTAAATCCCCAGCCCCAGAAGAACATGATTTAATAGGCATCATTTTGTGATAAAGTCCCAGGAAGAGTCTGCCCAAACCTGAAAATTCAAACTTCTCGAAGAACTACTGAGTGATCTCAGAATCTAGTCAAAGTTCAGACTGCTGTGTAAAGTCTAATCCAGGATTTGTCCATTTGATCTTGGATTACTGCTTAATTTTCTTTTAACCCTCTAGGAGTGAGCATCCCCAAGAAAGGTTTTCATACTAATTTCACAGTAGCTTTAATTAAGCCACCATAACAGCTATGTTCCTCTCTGTCCAGCAAATGACTTTTGCTGATCAGAAACTTAAAAACCAAATGATGTAAGAGTAATATAAAATGAGGAGGACAGGGAACTTGGTCCAATGTACATCTCAATTTCCATGTAGTAGAAATTTCACACCACATGAAACTGTCTAAAGACTGTAACAGAGGCAAACATCAGTAAAAATTCTCCTTTTAAGACTTTCTGAGACTCAGATTTTTAAAGCTGCAAGGAAACTTGGAAATCCCCTGTTCCCCCACAATGCTACAGGTAAGAAAACTGAATCCTTAAAGAAGAGGTATCTGTCTCTGGATACACACTGGATGTTAGTGGTAGAGCCTGCTGGGATACCAGCGACCACTTCTGGTTCCAGGTGCCTTTCCAGTTCTCTTTCTCTAACATTGTTATAATTCTGTATCCTACCTGGTTATGATTTTGTGGGCTGTCATTGAAAAAGTAACTGATTTCACCTACAGAAAAGTAGCTACCATTACTGCTTATTGGACACTTTGGCTTACAGAATTTAACAACTAGTGGGTAGTCACTCCCTAACCAAGTAAGGATTTAAACCCAGATTCATCTGAGTCCCAATCATTATTTTCCTCTTTTATTCTAAACTGCCTTTCTTTGTCTGCTTGATTTATTTCCCCAGTGCCTACATTATAGTCTGAAGATAGAGTATTTTGGAAATTAAAATGAATGTCAATAGCTCCTTTATCTTTAAAAAAGATGTTGTCAGAGAAATTATCTAGAACAGTAATCAGTTCCTTTTATAATAAAGACTTATAGCTCATTGAAATTTTTCCCTAGTTGTAATAAATTTATATATACTGACTAGAAAGATGCCAATATTAAATAAAATAAAGAAAGCAAATTGCAGGACCATGCTACTTTATCACATTTAGGCTGTGTTTAATATTACAGATGTTTGAATATATAGAATATCTGGAAAGATACACAATAAACTCTGAAAGTTTTGTGCTGAGCAGTAAAATTGGGAGACAAGTGGTTAAACAGAATTAGGAAATTATTTATATATCATTTTATTTTTCATAATAAGTGTACATTTTTAAAAAGTGAATTAAAACTTTCCTCATAAACCCATTATAAAACTTAACGTTTTTGTGACTAGAAATTATAATTAGTCATTGTAATGTCATTGAACTGTTGAGAGAATAGTCAGTCCTATGAAATTACATTTTTTCTACTGCCATGAAAATACCTGTAAACTATCAATAGCAAAGCCCAGCAAAGAGTTATTGCTCAATAATAATGATCTTTCTCAACCACATGATCAAAAGTAGTAAATACTAATCTTTTTCTAAATGAAAGTCATTTGTAGCTTGTGGAATATTATAATATCAATTGATATTGTTACCAAATATTATAAATCAACCAAGGTAAAAATTGGAACTTATTTTTCATTTGAACTACAAATCTATCACCTATTCTCGACCCTTCCACCTTGCATTCCTTCTGAAGACTTTTTTTCTCTTTATGAGTCCTCTTCCATGCAGTGTCAGACCATTTGACATTCTTAACACTTTGTGTAACTGTCTGATGAATTTAAGTTATTTAAAATGTGTTTTATCTTTAGGAATTAATTTTGTTGTTACCAGCTTTCAAGTTGCTATAGTTATTTTAGTCTGCTACTAGAAAGGTGAGATTTTTAGGATTTATGTGTTAAACTGCATTTATTCTACATCTCCCACCTTTCTCTTCTGCCAATGGATATAGTTGTTTCTCCATTTTAAAAGACTCCTTCCTCCAGGTGGACACAACTAAGAAGCCGGTGAGAAAGCCACCAGCAAGACTGAAGAAGCTTACGCTCAAAAAGGATGTAAAGGACTTCACAGTGAAGGATGTGGAAGAAAAGATGCAGGCTGCAGAGGAGCACCGAAAGGTAAATGAGCTCATGTTAGACCTTTCGCATTATTAGCTTTAAGGCACATTCATTAGTTTGATATTCTGCATGTTTCTTATGTTGTATGTTTAGTGTTTGTTCCTTTTTTAAATACCTTTGCATGAGAAAAGCAAGAAGAAAAAAAAAAATATATATATATATACATACAAGATACTAAGATAATTGTACTACTAATTTCCATTGGTTCATTGAAAGGAACAGTAAATGCTTAATTTTTTTGAACAATTTTTCACGCCTATATCTGGTAATCTGAACAACTACTTTGAAGGTAACAATATACAGTATAACCATTGTTGATTTCCTATCATCTTGTTTTGATATTCTGTATTGTTTTTAATATTTTCTATTCTCTTTAAAATAAAAATATTAAAAATAGAAAATAAATACCTTTGTGTTGTGAAGGAATAAAGCAATATTTTAAAGTTGATTGAAAATTAGTTTAAGCCATATAGTTTCAATAAACAATATCCAATTCTTGAAATTAAGTATGATATTTTCTTCTATGCAAAGAGAAAACTTCAGTTGGAGCTAGGGGTAGGAGGGAGGCAGGGTGTGGGTAAAGGAGGCCCTGAGGACAGAAGACAACCCTGAAGCTCTACTGGCCATTCTGCCAAGGGGCAGCCTTCACAACTCTAGTCCCATAGCTTCATTCCCCATCTCTCTACTAGGCCTTGGAGGCCTCAGAGGCAGCAAGCACTAGACTCTAAATCCCATGAAGGTCAGCTCTGCTTGTCTTCTTCAGTGGGGGCTCCTCAACACATGTTTGCTACTTGACTGACTAATAAAATAGAAAAGTCAAGAAAAGCTCCTGACCAGCAATATTAATGAGAACCTACAGTTCCCTGGGCTTTTTTTGATTTTCATTCTTTATTACTGCTTTTCAGAGTAAAGAAGAAGAAACAAGAAAAAGACTACGGGGTGAACAATCTTTAGCCCCAAGCAGTCATTCAGACTCTGCTGAATTGGGTACCGCTGAGGTTTCATTTGCCAAAGGGCCTTACATTGTGAGTTCTGCCGAGTCTGCACTGTCTGACCTGCAGGGAAGAGAGCCCCTGAAGAGGAAGAAGAGTAAACGTGAGGCGGCCCTGATTGACAGGAACTACCATTATGAATGTTTTGGGGTTGTGGAGTCAGACATGTTCTACAATAGAGAAGATGACATATTCTAATAGGCCAGTTTTTGTGAATTTCAAAAAAAGGCGTTCATTCTTCCCAACTGTCACATTCCTAGCGTGTCACATGCTCTTTGCCATGTGACCTCATCCATTGGGATTTCTGGTGTGGCTTAGGAATGATAAAATGAGCAGCATGGGCTAAATACTAATTGGGTGAATTAAATGATCACAAAAAATAAAAAAGAAAAGAAGGATATGTTTGAGCAGCTTGGATATTATAAGGTGGGTATTCTCCCTCAAAGGGGCTCCACACATTCTTAGATATCTAATTTACGAGTCTTTTCCAGCTTACATGAAAATGTTTGTGCCAAATGACTCCATCTTTGTGCTTCCTCAACCTTGGCTGTGTCCACTGATGGTCATTTATGATGAATTTCATGGATTTGCATTAAGTATTTTAATAATCTTATTGATTCATGTGCTGTGTATTTAGTTTTGTTTCTTTTAGTGATCTGTGCTATCAAGGAATAAAGCAATATCTTGGAGTTGATCAAATTACAATTTCATCCCTATATTTAAGTAAACAATATCCAATTCTCAGAATTATGTAGAGTAGGGAGCTTTCTTCATATTGAAAAAGAACTTCAGCTGGAAGTAGAAGGGTGTGAGGAGGCTGAGAGTACACCCCAGGTCTTCTTTTCCCCACCAGCAGTCTGACCTGAATAGTTTGCTGCCCTCATTATGGGAATTCTACCTGCTTCCCCACTCCCTTACCGTCCACATCCAACCAATGATTGGGAATCTCTTGTATCTGTCTTTATGCTTGTCTCCTGTCGCTACCTAGTTTAGACCACCTCATCCACCCCCATACAGTTGGATCACAGCAGTTCTCTCAATTTTGTATGGTTGTGATCTGTTTAAAACTCACTATTGGGGCCAGGGATATAGCTTAGTGGCACAGCACCTGCCTGGCAAGCATGAGGTCATGAGTTCCATTCCTGGTACCAAAAAAAAAAAGAGAAAACCCACCATCACCCATCTTTCTTATCAAGATAAAATCCAGACTCCTTCTGGAATAAAGATCTCAGATTTTACAGTTCACGAAGTCTGACTGTCTTCTAGAGCCTCACACTAGCACACTCTTTGTAATCTCTGGGTCTTTGCACGTGCTCTTCCTTCCTTCCTCTTTCCCCTTCTTGCTATTTAACGTATGGCTTCTCATTTCATAATGCCTCAACTCAGATATCATTTCCTCCAGCTTTCCAGTCCAGACCTCTCAGTCTCTTTTGTCCCCTGGACTACTCACCTTTGTACTTATCACCCTGAGTGGAAAGTACCTGATACATTTTCTTCTTCATCTAGATATCTTCAGTTCCTACATGGAAAAGGAGTGCACCTGTTGTGATTGTGGTTACTGTTTTAGTACCTCAGAGAGCTGCTTTAGTGAATTAATCAGTATGCCTATACATCCTCCAGAATGAGGAAACTTTTTTTCTATAGGATCCAGTAGCCAGGACCACTCGACATCTATTGCTTACATAATCCCTCTGGGATTCAGGAAAATGACATCTTGTGTTCCTCTCTTCCCTCTAGAACTTTGGACTTCTGGGACAATGGTATGGAGGTAATGGGGGAGGCAGTCATTGCAGAACGAAAACATGTGAGCCAGAGTCTACTTCTTACTGTGTGACCTTGGAAAGGCATATAGACTGTGTCTGAGTCACCTTAGATGTTAACTTGGGATAGTCACCATCACAGAGTTGCATCAAATCAAATCATACATTTAACAGTACTGTGTAAACTAGAATACACTACCATGTACACAGGACAGTAGTTAAATAAAATCCCATGTGACACCATGATATCTTCATCATTCCTGGAATATTTCTAAGAAGGTGTCATACGGTGCCATGTGCCAATCTTATGAAATATTAGAGAAGCTAAAACCATTATACAAAAGAACCTAGAAGATTTGAGCATCATTCATATATCCGCAAATAATATTTTAATTACTATAAAGGATATTTAATACAAACATATAATAGTTATCAATGACATTTCTCAATTTCATAAATATTGAAATATTCTCTCTTACATATTTATACTGGGTTGAGTTCAAATATATACTGTCAGGCCTCTGTACCTATGAGTTATTCAAGGATTCTACTAACTGTATTCAAATGCTTAAAAAAATAGTAACTGTACTAAACATGTAAAGAGTTTCTTCTTGTTATTATTTGCTATAGAGTATTATAATAATCATTTAAGTAGGTCTTATGAGTAATCTAGGGATGATTTAAAGGAAGTGTGAGGACCTGTGTAGGTTGTGTGTAAATTCTACACAATTTTATATAAAGGATTTGAACATCCTCCGAGTTTAGCCTCCATGGGGATTCTTGAACGAACCCTACAGCAGCTATAAAAGGGTGACTGAAGGGTGTAGAGGTGAACATTGTCATTGATACTCTAGTTTGAAAACCTCGCTACAGAACTAGAGTTAAATATGCAAAGAATAAAACATCAAAAATGATAATCTTTGTATTTTCTTAGTGATACCATCCACTTTAGCAGGATAGGAAGAAGTAAATATTTGCTTTTGTCATTCTTAAAACTTAAAGTTTTGAACAACCACCAGAATATTTCAACTAAAATCAGATCACAACCCTGAGGAAGTTATGAACCAAGGAACACAAGATTAGGTAAATGTCTCTGTCATCATCTTAATCAGTGCCAGTTTCTCCTTGTGAAAGATGCCCTTGTGTTACTTGATAAAATGTACTTTGATGTTAGTAATCCTCTAACTTTGGTTGGAAGGAGGAAATTTATGGCCAACTCGTATTTAAGGTAATATAGTTAAAGCAGTATTTAACATTCATATGTTAAATATTTCACATATATTTAAAATAATATATGTTATAAGACATTCAGGTTAGTAAAAGTAATTTTATAATCACTGGGACAAAAACAGGATCTATCATAGTGCTGCTATAGTGACTTCCAGTAATTTACAATGGTGCCTATTTCTGTGTCTGTTATTCCATTACCATAAATAGCTAGTATTTGGAGGAATAATTATATAGTAAATACTGCATCCTACAAATGTGCAGTGCTAAATTGTGTCAGCATATAGATCACTTTGTGTATACTCAATACTTTCACGCAGGAATAGTGACACTATGTCCTAGACAGGCAAATAAAGGACATATTTTAAAATACACCATGGGAGATGACAGTTATATTCTCTCTGTGTCACTCATACTTGCTTTTAAAAATAATAGCTGCCTCTTTGGTTTTTTAATCACATGGTTGATAAAAGAAAATACTGAAAAACATAAGAAGTAAAGAAAAAAAAAAAAAACCACCAGGAATCTAACACTTTCCTTTCCCTTAAGATAACTACTGGTGAAATTCTACTATACATACTTCAACTTTTTCCTTATAAAAATGGACTCATCTTACCTAAACTGCTTTTTTTTTAAGAGTAGGAAGAATTTATTGAAAGGAAAAAAAGATTCTGTTTGAGAAGGACAGAACGGGGCCGGGAAAATGGGTTGCTTACAAAACTCACTGCTCAAGGGTGTTTTATTAAGCAAAGCCACGAGATGAGGCAGGCTTAAGGTGGGACAGAGCTATAATCAATCAATAAGATTACAAGTATAGTTGCTTAGGTAATACTGATCCAATGGTGAATCATAGAATGGGTGTGAGGTGGGACAAAACTATGGTCAACCAATAAGATTACAGCTAGTCGCTAAAGTGATGATTAAATGGAGATCAGATGGGGAATCAAGTCACGTAGCAAGCACACAGGGAACAGACAAGAACTTTCCTGGAAAGGATGGGTTAAGATTTGGTCCTCCACCCCAAGGCCTAAACTGTTTTGTATTTGACATCTTTTACTAAACAATTTCCATATTGATAAATCTACAGTATCATTCTTAATGAGCCACCTCGGTGATTTAACAATATCACAACTATCATTCAGTTCCCCAATTGTATTGCTAGGGGTTTCCATGATTAAAGATAGTCATACCCCATGTTTTCCTTTCAGTTTTGAATCTATTGATAAATGAAATAAAGTAAATGTTTTCCCTGCAAAGCAGAGCAGTCTAAGCATCTTGGAGAATAAAAGTTGTCCCTACTTTGCCTGGCATTTACCCTGCCTTGTTTTATTCTGTTACTGCTCTCTGTGAAACTCTATGAGTGCTTAGGAGAGGAGAACAGATGCCTATAATCCTACCACTCTGGGAGGCTGATGCAGGAGGATTCCAAATTCAAGCAAGTTAATGTGACCTGGTCTCAAAATAAAAAATAAGAAAGGGCTAAAGATATGGTTCAGGGTGAAGGTCTTGGGTTCAATTCCCAGTATGGAAGAAAAATTGCAGCCAGTTTCATAAATCCACCCCAGATTCTTCTCTATTCAGAAAGTTGAATTCATCTCATGATGATTTTTTATTCAGTGCATTGAGGTCTCAAGTATGCTTCAAAAACATACAGGGGAAATAAGGAAAAAGTGTGGGGATAGTGCCTGTAACCCCAGCTCCTCAGAAGGATATGACAAGAAGACAGGAATATTTCAAGTTTAACAGTCTGGCCAACTTAGTGAGATCCTGTCTCAAAATAAAATAAGATGAGGACTAGGGATGTAGCTTGGTGGCAGAGTGCTTGCTTAGCATACTTGGGCCACTGGGTTCAATCCCCAGTACTACTATTTTTAAAAAAGAGTGACTACTGTTATCCTCATATCTGAGTTTACTTTTCATTGATGAGGAATAAGGCCTAGCCAACATTTGCAAAGTGTTACTGGAGGAGAAAGGTTCACAAATAAGGCTCTGAAATTTTTCTCATCATTCTGAAACAAAAATATAGTCATAAAAAATCAAATGATTTGCTATTTTAAGCACAAATTACAATCATTCCCAACATTGATATGAAAGCAGTAATTCAAGTGCAATAATGTCTAGTAAATAATACATAAATTTTCTTTCTGTGTTAATACAATTCCACTCCTAAACTGAACATGATACAGTCACCCCTTGGTATACAGGAAGGATTGGTTCTTTGACACCCTGGAAATACCAAAAGGCAAGGAGGCTCCAGCCCTTTATATACAATGGTGAAGTATTTACATACAACCGAAACATCCCTCCCCAGATTTTAAGTCACTTCTCCATTGCTTGGAATACCTAACATAATGCAAAAGTAAACAGCTGTCATACTGTATGCTTTAAGAAACAATGACCAAAAAAAACAGTCTGTATATTCTCAGTCTAGATGCAATGGTTTTTTCCCAAATATGTTCAATTCATAGTGGATTGAATCTTTGAATGCAGAACCCATGAATGCAGAAGGCTGACAGTATAGCATGGAAAAAGGTTTATGACAGCAACCCATGCTTTGTCCAGCTTAATTTAGAATAAACACCAGTGTTTACTCCTTAAATGGGAGCAAGACTACCCAGAGTGTTATCAGCAGCTGACTTCCATGTACCTACTGGCTGGATTGGTCTATGCCAGTGTTTCCCAGTGTGACCCCCACTAGCGGTCTCAGAATCACCTGAGAACTTGTTACAAATGCGGATTCTGAAGGCCCCAACCCCGTTCTTCCATATCAGATCATGAGGTACAGCGATTTAGGTTTTCTCAAGCCCTCTAAGAACTTTTGCCACATACTGAAGTTTGCTCTCTGCTTTGCATTCAGTCTGCAAACATACTGAGCGATGCCCACAATAAGCTGCAGTGCCTGGTCAGAAGGCAACTTTTCCTGTGCCCAAGTACCCCTGTCCCCAAGGGCGCAGTTTGAATATTTACCAGGAATTACTGAAAATGTTTCTCCAAAGACCTGTTAATGTTCTTTATGGTGGCTTTTATATTTAATTTTGAATAGCTTTCCCCCCCCCAAAGGGAAAGAAATAGATGAGTTTGTGGAAAAATTTTTAAAGGCTCCTGGACTACTCATAGCATTGTATAAGTGTCTAAATTTCACCTCTAATTTAAGAGAACTAAAAGTGCAATTGTAGATAATGTATTATGGATGAGGATTGTCTAAGAACTGTAAACATGCATTGGTGTCATATCAAAGTATTTATAAGGAAGATCTACTATACAGAGCCCTTCCCAGTCCTCATCCGGGCCCAGAAAGTTTATATGTATAATCCTATGGAGAAGTTTTTGGAATTCTAATGAGTTAATTCCAATCTATCATTGCCAGTGTAACCCATAGCTAGAATAAAGGCACTAAGGCATATTGGTAGTTATAGAGAGTCAAGGGGTCTGACTCCAGCCATGATGATGGCTAACCGGAACATTGGCCTCCAACCAACACCGAACCCAGGTTTTATTCATTCATGAAGAAAGGAGTGGTTTGAGGATGAATGACTGTGAGAACCACAGGAAGTAGGTGAGTGCTGTGAGCCGGGATAGGTAGAAGGCCCAAAATTCCCTCTGCAATACACAGAGAGAAGGATATGCAGAAAGGGTAATCTGCATAACACAACTGAGATAGCATCTAATGTTTGGGGGTCAGTGCTTCATCTCTGAGGTGTAATGTTTGGATCCCCAGGAAGTCACAGCCTCCATCTCAAGGCTCCATTCCAGCCAATAGTGTGGAGCACTGGCTCTTCATTCCTCCCAGCTCACACAAGGGAACAACGGAGGGGCGTGTTATGGGGAAAACGCCTGCCTTTTCAAAGACTATCATCCGCATCAGCACCTCTGCTAGACCGACATGCATTGCTTAAAGCCAATTAAAGGGATAAGGAAAAGTCCCAGCCAGCTCCGTCCATATCAATACATGGAAACAGGTTCAGGTTCAGCCAAAATGGAGACAATTGCTCCTCCTTCAAGGAAAATCACCCAGCTGATCCTCCACAATCCACATAAATGGTTTAAGTTCAGATAAAATATTTAGGGTATGTGGGCATTGTTTTTGAAGAATATTTGACTACTATTCAATAGGCAAAATCAAGATGCCTTTTCTCTCCTTACTCTCACATACTCTGTGTTAAAACAGAACACTTCACCATTAGTTAACAGAAACATGTGGGAGATACTTCCCACCAAAAATCAAGCAGTTCTCCTGCAGGCACTCTCTGGGCATCTTGTAATTCAATGCAGTTTTGACCCTGTCTGCCTGGACATGGTGTCAGCTTAAGGGTTCAGCCTCACAGGTCGGACCCTACCTCAAATGCCAGTTCCATATAATAGATTGTTCCCTAAACTTCTGATCCATTGGCTATAAATTGGATTCCCATGACCTCTTCCTTAGGTTTGATTCATTTGTTGGATGAGTCACAGAACTCAGTGACACACTTTACTTGCATGTACACATTTATTATAAAGAACATTACAAAAATGTGGGTCAATATCAGATAGAAGAGATGCATAGAACAAGATATGGGAGAGGGGTCCCAAGCACAGGAGCTCATCCCTGTGGAGTTGGGGTGTGCCTTTCTGCCAGCACATAAATATATTCCATGACCTGGAAGCTCTGCCAACCCCGTGGTTCAGAAATTTTCATGGAGGCTTCATCACATAGGCATGATGTGTCCTTACCTCCCTTTCCTGCCCTGTCTCACATCCAAGCCTCTAAGCAAGGCTTGGTCTTTCTGGTGACCAGCGCCAATCAAGGAGCCCAGTAGGTATCACCCTAATAGAACAAAGGAAGATCTTATCACCCCAAATGCAAAGGGATTTAGGAGCTCTGTGCCAGGATCTGAGACAGAGGCCAAACATTAGAAAAGATTCTCCTGACACCCTTAACGTTCAAGAAATTACAAGGGCTGTCGGAGTTCTGTGTCACAGGGACTGGAGAACAAGATAAATATGTATATTTCTTATTATTTTAGAACTACTTTTCATTAACTAATAACTTCCCAGACCTGTTCATATCTATCACATTTTAAAGAAAATTTATAATTCAATTCTTAATATATTGCTCAAAAATTTTCTAAACTTTTTATTTAAAATCAGTTCTGCCTCATGTGCCATTTAAAATTGCTAAAAATATCCTCCAAACCACATACAGGGATTTACAATTCTAACAAAGTTGAAAGATGCTACAATTATTTAGCCTGTTCTTGTTAGATATTTTGGCTAGTTTCAATTTGTAGATATTATAAATTATTGTAAACCATTCTAAAGTCAACATAAAAAGACTGGCTTATTCAGTTAGTCTGAAAGTTCATCTCACAAGGCAAGTAAATGGAAGATTTCAT